AAAGGGCGCAAGATCTTTGCGAGCGCCCGCAAACGGTGCGATTCATACCACAATATGTCATAATTGCATGCGCAAATTCTTCGCACGCGACGACGTCAAGGATACAAGGGCGGCCCGCACGCACACGCACACGCGCGCGCGCGCACACTGCAACATTGCGCATTATCTTATGTTGTGGATTGTTATGATGTTTCCATGTTTCTTATAGGTGTTTCAGTATCGCGTTATGGCATGCACAGTTGAATGTTGATACGTTCCATGGTCCAGGTTGTTTTTTTGTTCGGGGATGGGGGGGGGGGGATAGGGGCAGAGAGAGAGAGAGGGGGGAGAGGGGAAGGGAGGGAGAAAAGGGCAAGGGAGGAAAGGGGAAGGGAGACCTCATGCACGCCGCGCGACGCGCACGGGACAACCCCAAGAAGAGGAGGAGGGGGAGGAAGAGGATGACGAGCACCGCTGGTAGACCCCGCCCCCCCTCCACCGTCCTCCATTTTTCGTTGCTCGTTGACCTCCAATCCTCCACCCCCCCCGAACCGCTGCCCTCATGGCAAGGGCCTCCGTGGGGTATAGCGCCCCCCTGGGCACTGCGCCCCGCTGCCCCCCGGCCCCCGCGGCGCGGCCACGCAGCCGGGGGAAAGAAAGGCGCGGGGGCCGCAGCCTCCGGCACGCCGAGCCCCCGACGACCCAACGGGGTTCCAAGACAGCCCACGAGACACCCGTGACGGCCCATGCAGGCCCCAAACAGGTAACAAGATTTGTCCAAGATGGAGACATCGAAGGCCCACCTTGCAAGACGGCACAGACGGCCCAACAGGGCTACAAGACGGCCCCACATGGTTCCGAAGCAACCTTGCAAACTATGAAGTATAGGCGCGCATTAAAAAAAAACGGTGCAACTTTCATGGTACACGAAAGCCTTTTCGCGGTCCACGAACGCAGCGGTTTTCGCTGCTTTTGTGGCGCATGGAAAAGTTCGCGTGGAAATTAAAATGTCTTCTCGTGCGTGAAAGCTAGCTGATGCATGAGCCCCGGGAAAACCGCGACATTGTTTTGGGTTTTCGCGGGCCCCCACGAACGCGCCACAAAAAGGTGCTCGGGGTTTCCGTTCGCGTTGGCATGCAAGGACTTGCTAGAGCTTTATGTATTGTGTGTGATTTTTGTTCGTGGAGCTCCGCGCCGCGGAAAGTTTCCCCCGCGCCATTTTGATTTGACTCGTAGCTTTCCACGATGAGCCCCGCGGGCGCCACGAGCATGTTTTCGCGGTTGTCGCGGAGCTCCACGCGCGCCGCGATCGCGCCGCGAAAAGGTGTTCGTGGTTTTCGCAAAGCTTCACGCGCCACGAAAAGAGTCATTTGGATGTAAATATTTTTTTTCGCGTCGTGGACCTCGCGAGCTGCAACGGGCGCCACGACAAAAAAATGCTCTCGTGCATTTTCAGATTGGGAGAAAAATGTCACGGCGCGCCATCCAGCAGCTTTTTCGCGCCACGAAAACTTTATATGCTGCCAAGAAAATGCTGTCCTTGGCCCATGGCGCCGCGAAGAAAAAGTTCATTCGAGCTCCACGAACGCAGCGAAAAAGCTTTCGTGCGCCACGAAAAAGGTCTTCGCTTGTTTGTGCGTATACGCTTCAAAATCTGATTTCAAATTAGCGTTATCTGGCTTTTTCGTGCCACGAAAATTCCACGAGCGCCACGACAAAGTTTGCGTGGTTTTCGTGGAAATCCACGAACGCCACGAACAAGGCTTTCGTGCGCCACGAAAAAGGTTTTCGTGGTTTCAAGACCTGATTTAAAAAATTGCTGGGGGCCTTTACGGAGGCCGACGGAACCATAGCATTTCGTGACATTCTACGAGCGCCACGAAAAAATGTTCGTGGTTTTCGTAGAACTCCACGAACGCCACGAAAAAATGCTTTCGCGCGCCACGGAAAAAAAAGATTTCGTGGTTTCAAAAACTGGTTTAACAATTTCTGGGGGCCTTCTACGAGCGCAATGAAAAGGTTTTCGTGGATTTCGTGGAACTCCACGAACGCCACGAAACAAATGTTTTCGTGCGTCGCGAAAAGGTTTTTGCATTTTTTCTGGAAGAAATTTTAAAAACTGATTGTAAAATTTCTGTGGTGTCTTAAGGAGGCCGACGGTAACATGGCTTTTTCGTGCCACGAACATACCACGAGCGCCACGACAAGGTTTTCGCGGAATTCCACGAACGCCACGAAAAGGTTTTCGTGCGCCACGAGAAGGTTTTCGTGGGTTTCGTAAATTCCAAAAAGTATTTTGAAAAATTCTGGGGGGCTTTAAGGAGGCCGACGGTAACATGGCATTTCGTGCCGCGAAAATTCAACGAGCGCCACAAAAAGGTTTTCGTGGTTCGTGGAACTCAACGAACGTGTAAATTTGTCGTGCGCCACGAGAAGGTTTTCGTGGTTCTCGTAAATCTCAAAAACTGATTTTAAACTTTCTGGGGCCCTTTTACGGAGGCCGACGGTAACATGGTTGTTGCGTACCACGAAAATGCCACGAGCGCAACGAAAAAAATATCGTCGTGTTTTTTCGTGGAGCTCCACGAATGCCACGAAAAGGTTTTTCGTGCGCCACGAAAAGGCTGTCGTGGTAAATGTCAAGAACCGACGGTGACAAGGCTTTTTCGCGCCAAGAAAATTCAACGAGCGCCGCAAAAAAGTTAATTCAGAATTGCTGCGGATTTTGCGTGCCAGCGATAACATGGCCCACGAAAGCTATATAGTTCTATAGGAACTAAAACATATAATTCAAAAACTATGCAAAGGCCGACGGAACATCACACACTAAATTAAAACGCGTTGTGGAGGCCGACGGGAACATTGGAATTAACATTGTACCTTGAGGCGCGTCATTTGGAATTTCAGTCCGGCTTGCATGGGGAATCTTCGCCGCGTGCATGGCCTAGAAAAGTAGATTCATCCGCTCGGGTGCTACGAGGATTCGAGGCCCCGGGAGGGTTCGGGAGGGCTCGGGAGAAACGGCGCACATTAGTTATCACGTGCGCACGAGTGGGCATTCGGGGCCTCGGCATCGCCGATTCCGCGCATGCGGAGCCACCCGGTGGCAGGTGCGAGCCCGGTCTGGTGAGACAGATTTCGACGTCAACAAGGCGCGCGCGCGGTGCCGGCGCCGCGATCGCGCGCCGCGGCGCGCAGCGTCAGGTTGCGAGCAGGTACTGCGACGAGATTCGCCGGACTGCCGAAGAGCTGCGCGACCGCGAAGAGCCCTCAGCGCCTCCTCCGCGGTGCCCCACGATGCCCCCGAGCGGCGGGCCCAAGGGCGGCAGCAAGGGCCCCGCGGCCCCTGCCGCAGCGGCGGAAGGCGCGGGCTCGAAGCCCAAGGGCCGGGCCGGCAACGGCTGGGAGCGCGGTGACGGGAAACGCCCGCGCCGCGGCGAGCGCGGCGGCAAGTCGCCCGCCGCCCCCGGCCGCTGGGCGAACGACCGTTGAATTCGAGCCTGCGCGCGTTCTCGCGCACTCGCGTCCGTCCGCGTCGCGCGCTCGGCGCACCGCAGGAGGTGCCGGCAGAAGTGCCCTCCTCAAGCGGGGCAAGCGAGGCGGCGCGCGCGCGCCGCTGGTCGCGCACGGCGCGCGCGCCTAAGTTCTTCGCGCGTTCGCTCGCAGGTGGGCTTCCCCATCTCGCGGTGCTGCAAGAAATTCGATCGTTCGTTCGGCGACCAGGTTCGCCGCGTCGCGCTGCCGGCGCCGCGTCGCGCCCGCGCCCGCCGACGACGCGCAGGGCGGGCGCGGCTGGCTGGCGCGCGTGACGGCCCTCGAAGGCCTGAGCTACGCGGGCGCGGCAAAGGCGCCGCCCGCGCGGCGCGCTTCTCGCGCCCGCGCCGCACCGCGCCGCCGTCGCGAGGCACATCCTTATCTGCAATTCATGCAAGACGCGGCTGATCCCGCGTGGACGCGTTCCGGAGCGGGTCAAGTTGCCCCTGGATTGCATTCGTGCAGTTGATTGGAATTGCCAGCGCTCCCTCGAGGAGGCGCGGCGTGAAGGGACGCAGATTCTTCGCGGGCTCGCCGGGGGGCGCCGCTACGTCGTGGAGAGCGGCGAGCTGGCATCGCGGGTCGCCGGCGCGGATCCGACCACCCGGAAGATCGCGGGAGGCTCGCGCCCGCCGCTCATGGAGCGCCTAGCGCGGCGCATCGGCCGGCAAGACGCCGATGTCGTCGAATTCTTCTGCCAGGCCGCTCCGCGCGCGCGCGCCGGGCGCGGCGCAGTCCCCCGCGCTGCCAGGGCGCGCCGCTGACCGGTGACCTAGCGCTCGAGTTTTCCTTCCCCGCGTCGGCCGACAGCGCGCCAGGACCGCTGCCCGGCCCTGTCGAAGGCAAGCCGCGGCCGCCCGCCCGCGGCCCGCGCAGCCGCGCCGAGCGCAGGCGCCGAGTCGCGGAACCGGCAGACCTTGCGCGGTTTGCGACGCGACGAGAACGAGGACGCCCTGTGGGCGGCGGTCTGGAAGGGCGTCGAACTAGGGCGCATGGAGGCCCCGGTCGCCGTGGACTCGCTGCCGCTCGACCGCGTCGTGCTCTCAAAGCGTTTTTTCACTGGCGCAGGGGCAAAAGATCAGGCCGGTCGGCGACGCGACCGCGTCCGACTTGAACCCGCGGACGCGGCTGGGACGCGCGATCGACCATGATTCAATCGATCGGCTCGAAGAGCTGGCGCGGGTGCCGGTGGAACGCGGCTGCCAAGCGCCCAGGTTCTGGAAGGCGGGTGTCGACGCAGCCTACCGACGCATTGCGCTGCGAGTAGCGGCGCGAGCCGCGGCCTACGTCGTGTTCTTGTATTGCGGTAAAGCGCACGCTGCGAGGCACAACGCGGCTTTCTTCGGGGCCACGAGCTCGGTGGAGAGCTGGGCGCGAATCGGCGCGCGGCATCTCGCATAGTTTCGCATCGCCGCGCGGCGCGGCACGCGCGAGCGTCGCGCGCGGCAGGCGCATTCCTCGCGGCGGTGCTGCGACGCGTGGTCTTCTTACCTGCACTCCGGTATGTCGACGATTTCTTCAGCGCCGACGAGGGCGACGGCGTCGGCGATGCTGCCGCAGCCGCTGCCGAGCTGATTCGCATTCTGCTCGGCGACGACGCCGTCCAGGCACGTGAGCTGGAATGGGGCTCGCCACTCGTCGTGCTCGGCGAAGTTCAGGCCGCGCGCGCCGCGTCGCCAATGGCTCGCAGCGCCCATGACGCGCAACGCGCAGGCCACGAGGCAGGGATTCTGGGCGGTGCCGGCGCCGCAGAAAGTCGAGCTGCGGCCCAGCTTGACCGCGGACAAATTGTCGCCAGGCGCGCGCCGATCTCGCAGCGCGCCTCACGGCCGCGCCGCGCGCGGGGGGCGATGCAAGCGAGCTCGCCGGGCGTTTGTCGTGGGGCTGCGCATGCATGTTCAATAGACTGGGGAGAGCCCTGCTACCTCGCGACGCCGCGGCGGGCGTCGCGGTCACGCGCCGGCCGGATTTCGCGCTCATCGTCGCAGGCTGGCCCAGGCCCAAGTCGCGCGTGCAGGCTCAACGAGCCACTCCGGTTGGCTCTGCGGCGGTGGCTGGACGCGCTCGAGCGCGACCTATCTCAAGCGCCGCTGGGGCCAGGCGCGGCGCTCAGCGGGGTCGGTCGCGCGCGGCCGCGCGCTCGGCGCCGCCGGGCCGAGCGGCCCTCTGCCGCGATTTTCGCCGACGCGAGCGGGGCGCCAGCCCGCCCCGGGGCGGCGCTTTGCATCGATGGCGAAATTCTGCACGCGAGCCGCCGCGTGACCGATGAAGAAAAAGCGTGGTTCTCCGCCAGGGGGGATCAGCAGATCGCCGGATTGGAACTTTTGGCCATTGCGCTCGCGTTCTCAACGTGGTAAGGCGCGCGCAGCCGCGAACCGAGGCACGCGCGCGTTCGCGCGGCTCTCCACCGCGCGCAGGCTTGCCTCGGGACCGCTCCATCGCAGCGTGGAGCGACAGTGTAGTCGCCGAGGGTTCGCTCCGCAAAGGCAGCGCGAAGGCCTGGGGTCGCGCGTGCATTGCGCGCGCGCCCTGGCTACGGGCGGCCGTCCTGCGCGAGCGCTGTGGAGCTACCGCGTCGACGCGAAGCGCAATCCAGCCGACGCGCCCTCGCGCGGCGATTTCGGGCTGATACGACGCCTCGCTGCGACCTGGAGCGCGCCAGTGCTCGCGCCCGCGTTCCGATGCGCGAGCGCGTGGGCCGCCCTGCGGCTTCCCAACCTGTTCTGACTAAACGCGCGCGGTGGCGGCCCGCGGCCAGCGTCCTCGCGGCGCGGCCGCGCGCGCCCCGGCGCTTCGGGGAAAGGCAGCCAGCCGCGCGTTTCCCGGCGTTCTGGGGGGGAGGGTCGCAGCGCGCGCAAGGAGGCCCGCGGCAACGAAGATGTCCGACCGCGAACGCACTGCATTCGTTTCAAGGGTTCGGCGGCTGCTCTACGACGTTGCGCCGCTACATGCGGTTGCCGCGGCGCTGTGTTTGTAGAACAATTCCGTTGCGTCGGAGATAGAGGCAGCTTGCGTCTTGCCAGCACTGCGCGTTATCGGCGCTGCGCGCGCGCCGTCCCACGCGCGCGGCGCGCGCAGGAAGACTTGGACGGCTTCGCAGACCTCGCTCCGCTCGCGGCAAACACGGTTCGCGCGCTACCAGCGCGGGTCGCGGCCGACATGCAGTTTCCATCGCGCGGCGGCGCGCCGCAACTGTCGCCCGAGTTGGCGCCCTTGGCACTTCGCGAGCCGCACGCGTTCACGGCGCCGTCGATGCCGCCGGCCATCGCGCGCGAGGAGGCGGCAACCGCGCCGCTCCGTCGCGCGCGACGCGTCGGCGCCCCGGTGCGCCTGCCAAAGGTGTCGCAGAGCTCGCCAGATTCCAGCTCTGAGAGCGCCGATTCCACTGACTCGAGCAGCCCGAGCGCGCAGTCCGTGAGCTCCTCGCTGGCGCGTCGCGAGCGCGCGCCAGCCTCGTCGCCCGACCCGGTGGGCCCGCGCCCACCGGCCGGTCCGCCGCACTGGTTTCGCGCCAATAGGGCCCAGGGCTCGCGAGCGAGCGCGGCTGAGCAGGTGATGTCGCGAGTGTTTTCAGCGCGCAACGTGGCGCGGGCGCCAGTGGGCGGCCCGCGCGCTGCTTGTCGCAAGCTCGCCGCGTCGCATCAGACCGACGGCGAACGCGCGCGATGGCTGCGCGGCGCGCGGCTCACGTCTCTCTCTCTCTCTCTCTCTCTCTCTCTCTCTCTCTCTCTCTCTCTCTCTTTCTCTCTCTCTTTTTTGTCTCTCTCTCTCTCTCTCTCTCCTCTCTCTCTCTCCCGACTGTTTGTATTCTCTCTCTCATCTCTCTCTCTCTCTCTCTCTCTCGCTCCTCTCATCTCTCGCCTTTTTTCTCATCTCTCCTCTCTCATCTCTCCTCTCTCTCTCTCTCTCTCTCTTCTCTCTCCTTCTTTTTCATTCTCTCTCTCTCTCTCTCTCTCTCTCTCTCTCTCTCTCTCTCTCTCTCTCTCTCTCTCTCTCTCTCTCTCTCTCTCTCTCTCTCTCTCTCTCTCAACTCGCCCCAGCGTCGAAGCGGAGCTTCTGCAGTGCCTGGCGCGCGTGGCTCGAGTTCGCTGAAAAATTCGGCGGCGACGCGGCGCGCCAGCTGCCGCCCAGGCTGGGCTTCCTGCTGGCCTGGGCTCACAGTTTCGATAACTCGCGAACGTACGGCAATTACGTCGCGCACTTGCGGCGCGCGCGCCTTTTGACGGTCCGCAGCGTCGAGGTTTTCCAGCACCCCGCGCTGCGCGAGGCGCGCGCCGGCATCGAGCGGCGGCGCGCGCGGCCTCGGCGAAAACCACGTTTCATTCAGCGCGACGTGCTTCGCGCGATCGCGGCAGCGTGCGAAGCGGGCCGAGTCGCGCATCGCGACTTTATGCTACTGCTTTTTCAGCTACGTGTTTCTGTTAAGGGTGCCCTCGGAGGCGGCGCCGGCGACCTTTGCCGGCCCTCGGCCCGATGCCGGCTCACCTCGCTCTGTTGCGTTCGACGGCGCCCGCGTTTTCCTCCGCTCGGCGCGCCGCAAGAATCTGCGGCAGGGCGGCCCGGCAATGAGCCGCGGGTGCTGGTGCCCCGCATGGCCCGCCACCTGTCCCGCCCGCGTGCTCGGGACATTCCTCCAGGCGCTGCCTCGCGGGGGCCGTTTGTTCCCTGGCCTGCGCCCGGGCAGCGCGATCGGTGTCTTCCGCGACTGTCTGCGCGCGCGCGGCGCGGCTGACGCGGGCGCGCTCGGCGCGCACGACGCGCGCCGCGGGCGCGCGCTCGACGCGCCGTGCGACGGCGGGAGCCTCGACGAAGTGCTCGCCGCCGGCCAATGGCGGAGCGCCGCGTCGCTCCTGAGATCGCATGTGCCTTTTGACGAGTCTGCCGCCGTACTAGAAGCCGCGGTCGTAGAGAGCGGTAGCGAGGGCGATCAGGGCGCCGGCGCCCCCCGCGAGCCACGCGAATCGCGCCGCGGGCGCAGCCGGACAACGGCTGACATCGCGGCGCGAGCTGGCGCGCCTCGGTCCAGGGGCCGAGCGGGCGCCGCGGCCGTGGGCGCGCACGCGCGCGCCGCGCCCATCGCGCAACGTTCCCGCGCGCCGCGCGGATCGGGCCGCGGACGCGCTCGTGCGCCGGCAGAAGTTGCGGCGCGATTCAACGCGCCTCGGCCCATGTGCCGCGCGGGGGTCGCGACCGCAGACGCGCCCGCGGGCGCCGCGTCCATCGCGTGCCTTCCCCGCGCCTTGCACCTCTCGCGCGACGCGGTGCACCCCGCGGGCTGCGTCGGGCAGCGGGCGCCGCGCGCCGCGCGGCGCGGCGCGCTCGGGCGCAGCCAGTTTGGCATTGGGCGTCGCCGCGTCCGAGCGCAGCAGCGGGGCGCGGCGCTGGCGCGCCCGAGCAGCGCCGCGCCGCCCCGCTGCGCGCCACGCCCATCGCCGGGGTGTGACAACGCTCGACGGACAGGGTGGCGCTCCTTGAGCGCCAGGATGGCACCAGTCAGGGGCCCCCCGGGCATTTGCGATGGCGCACGGCGCGCGCGTTGTGCAGAGGCGCGAATGCCAGGGGAGGGCCCGCCACGAGCGCACTGCGCGGCGCCTGGCGCGGCCGCGCGCGCGCCGCGCTGGGAGACGGAGGACCGCGCCACGAGATGTGCGGCGCCTCCGTCGTGCACGCGGGGCGCGGGGCCCACCGCTGCGCCGCGCGGCGCAGGGGGTGCCGTTGCTCCCCCCGTGGCCAACCAAGCCTTTCTCTTGCGCTGCGCTTCGGTGTCGGGCGGGGCTTCCCGTTCCTTTTCCGCGACGCCGCGCGCCCGCGCGCGCGCGCGGTCGCGCGTCGTCTGTCGGGCGTCGCCGCGCCCGAGCGCAGTAGCGGGGCGCGGCGCAGGCGCGCCCGAGCAGCGCCGCGCCGCCCCGCCCCGCCCCGCTGCGCGCCACGCCCGTCGCCGGGGCGCGACAACGCTCGACGGACAGGATGGCGCTCCTTGAGCGCCAGGATGGCGCCAGTTAGGGGACCCCCGGGCATTTGCGCCAGGCAGCTCTTCCCCTTGAGCGGCGGCGCAGCCGCCGCGACGCAAGTCAGGGGGCCCCCGGTTGAGTTCCACGCGCGCGCGGCATGCCTTCAGGCCGTGCTCGACCGCGTCCTCGACGAAGGCTTCTCCACTGCGGCCACGAAATGTCGGCAGGAAGTGGCAATTGTCTCCGGGGCGGCGCCCTCCTTGCCCGTGCAGCTCGGAGCCCCCGGGGCCAGAGCATCCGGCGCGGGGGCCCCATCTCCTCCAGAAGCAGCACGCAGTTGTTGGCGACCGCCTCAGCTCGACTACCAAATGCGCTCCACGCCGCGCGCGCACCGTCGGTCGGGGAGATGCCCCATGACCAGGCGTCGCCAATGCCGGAGACCACCATGTAGGACCCCTCGGTCCTGGCGCATCTTGCCTTCAGGTCGACCAACTGTCTGACCTGCTCGAGCACCTCCTGCCCCACCTGGGCGTAAAGCTCCCCGCTCGCCATGGGCGCAGCGCCGCCAAAAAAAACAATCTCTGTCGGTGCCCAGCCTGTTGTCACTCCAGATGACGACGCGAACTTCGCGCCCAGATCGAGTACCGCAGTGCTCGTCGTCGTCAAGCGTTAAGGCGCCCTCTCGCCTGTCGAAATCACAGATCTAGATCAGGACGACATCCCTGCTGTAGCTGCAGCGTCCTCCTGGCACTCCTTGCAGCTGGAAGATGGTCATCGAATCCACCATCCTACGTGCCTTCTCGTCCTATGTGTCTTATGTGTGGCTGATCCTCCTATGAAAGGAAGACGGTCGTCGACCGTGCCTTATACT